AATCCCATCCACCTGGTCTACTTGGTGATCTTGTTTCCAAACTCCAATTGACTTCGCCACCAAGAGTTTGAGGGAGAATGTTAGTATATATATTAGTATCTTATAATATCCTTATAATATTGTTAGTATATATATTAGTATCTTATAATATCCCTAGAATATATAATTATTCTTGTAATTAAGCTATAATTTCCTGTAATTATGCTAGGTTAGAATCTTTCCATATAGTGTATTTCCTTATTAACTTTGGCCTTCCCCACTATATATAGAGGCCTCCTTTGTATAGTTTTTACACACAGAAATATACAATTATATGATTCCTCAAAACTCTCTTTATTTCAACAGTATATTATAAGAGAATTGAAGATTGATTGAGAATTGAAGTTAATTATTCATCCTAGAGAAGTTAAAAGGATTAACTGATTATGGAAGATTGAGTTAAAAGAAGAAATTATTGATAATTGCAATAAAAGATATTTTTTTTTTTTTTTTTAAAAGAGGTGTAAAGCTTAAAAACTAAAAAATAAAAAATTTAAAACTTAAGTGTTGTTTATATACATAGATTGAAGAGTAACGTTACACATACAAATTATATATACAAATTATTTCCTACAAATTGATGCCGAAACCCTACACGTTTAACAGGTAATCTTCTTTAATTATTTAATTTTAAAACACATTTGTATATCTCGAATTTAATAGTAAAATTTATATGCAATTTATTAATTTCATTTTGTAATAACTTAAAAGATTTCTTTTGTGTTGTGCCTGACACACAATGAATCGTCTCCAAATTATTTTGGTACAGCTAAAATAAGATCAAGAAGAGCTGAAAACGACTGCCAAGTTTGGTTTCCAGGATCAAGGTTGGGTGCATCATCGTCCGGAGGTAGATACGCAAGATTCAACCCTGGCATTGGATCAGCCATGGAGGGATTTCCATTTCTCGGATTTCCTGTTAGCTCCGAATATACTCTGTTAATTTCAGCCGCCAATTCTTGATAGTTACCACAGTTATTCAGCTTCACCATTCCGGCAACATGTACAGGTTCACTCAACAATATGGGCACTAGAACTTCTCTCTCCATTTTAACTCCTGAACCTTCAACATGGGGCACCTGGTTTTTCCTGGAGTTTGATTTATTATCATCTGTGACTTTCACAACTGGAACTTCTTGATCATTAACTTTCAAATTACGGGTTTTGTTTTGATTTTGAGCTCCCAGTCCCATATTGAAGAGCCTGCGCTGCAAATATTGTGAGATAAGTTAGAGAAAGAGTTTTAGTCTGAAAGGTTTGTGAAAGGATAAAGAAAAATCTGGTAGTGTTAATGCAATTAATAGTGGGTTAAGATTTTTGTCATTTGGCTAAAATTAGGAGCAGAGGGAGTTTCTTTCTTATAAAAGGAAAAGAACCAATTAGGATTTGGGAAATCCATTATTGTTATGTGTAATTAATAAAATATATATACATTTAAATGAAAGAAACAATTTTAGTCACACATGGACATTATTAGTAAATAAAGAATCTAAGTCCCCAGAACAAACTTTGTTTTCTTTTGACAAAAGGAAAATAAAGAATTTGGGAATAATAAAGCTACGATGAATGAGTTATGATATTACTAGTGAAGAAAAATGATATTATCAAGAGAAACTATGTAACATACACAAATAGCAATTATGTGTACCTGCTAGCCCAAAGAATAAAGGAAAAGGAATTTAAAGAGCTAACAAACATATATAAATCTAGTCAAGAAAATAGAAAAAAAAAAAATTAACATATATACTTGATAATCCTAATTGCTATCAATTTCTCTGCTTAGTGAATAGTGATGGCCACAGCCAAATGAAAGAAAACTTACTTTCCTTAGCGTCTAAAAACAAGAGACCTTCGTTCTTCGTGTCTTTTTATAGATAATACATGTGTCTGAGTCCTAATAAGATACAACCCCTATTCCTTAGAAGACTCCTATAAATCTCACTATAAGCCAATACTCCTGTTTCTTATAGATTTGTATTCCTATTTCTATTTTTAAACTTATTATATTCCTATAATAGTATTATTATCCTCTTTGAACAAGCTTTTCTTAAAGAGATAAGTTCACAAGGAATATCCTGAAACAGCAGCTGTTGGTGAAAGAGTTAATCCTCCAAGATTTCTTAAAGAGATAAACTCACAAAGAACCTATCAAAAACTTATCATTAACATCTTCCAAGTTCATAAAGTGATACGGGCTCATAAAGTTTCAGGATTACAAAAGGGACCCGCACCAACTTCAATTCTCGTTTGGTACAGCTGCAATAAGATCTAGAACAGCTGAAAACATCTCCCAAGGTTGGTTTCCAGGATCAAGGCTGGGCGCATCAAAGTCATCGGATGGAGATAGATATGACAGATTGAACCCCGGCATTGGATCAGCCATTGAGGGGTTTGCACTTATTGGAATTCCTGTTAGCTCTGAATGGACTCGGTTAATTTCAGCCGCAAAGTCTTGATAGTTGCCACACTCATGCAGATTAATCGTTCCAGCAATACTTACAGGTTCACTCAACAAAATCGACACTAGTTTGGGTGTTCGTCCCATATCTTCTGCATCCGCATGTTTAACATCCACCATTTTGTGGGAATTTGGTTCTTCTGCAACTTCCGCATTTGGAGCTAGTTGTACTAACTTCCCTTGAGCATTAGAAACATTGAACTCCTCATTTATCAATTTGGGGACGTATTCTTTATTTGTGCCTTTCGGACTTGGAGCTCGCTGACTATCAGCAACCTTTACCCTTTTCCCTTGAGCATTAAAAAGACAGCACTTGGCATTTCTCAATGTGGGGACATATTCTTTATTTTTACCTTTCGAACTTCGAGCTCGCCCACTTTTGGCAACCTTTAACAGTTTCCCTTGGGCATTACGAAATTTTCTGGCGGCATTCACCATCTTCTTAGCATTTATTTTGTCTGAAACTGTGGGATCAGTAACTTGTTCTTCTTTTTCTGGTTGTCCTAACTCACCAGCAGCATTATTACCAATTTGGTGCTCAGATTGACCTTCCTGTTTGGAATTTTCAATATTCATTTCTTCAGCTTTCAGAATTTTCTCAGTTGAACTTAGAGCATAATCCACTTTATCTGAACTTGTATTTTCCATAACAACACCTATATCCGTGTATATTATGAAACCAAAAGATAACATAAGTAGATCAATATCATTGCTATGCTCCAATAGTATCAGAATCAAATGATAACATAACATCTTAATTGTCCAAATATTCTCAGTAGTTCATACTCAGGATTCTCATATAAAATCAACAAGATCCAGTAGTTGACGTCCCTAACTAAATACATCTCTTTTAATATAGCAAGAAGTGCAGAGATTTCATTATTCAAGTTCAGAATAAAATTTAATAAAAGATACTTATCATGATTCGTGCAGTCCTAAACATACTTAAAGACTCTAATCATTTCATTCCGCCAGAAACAAAATCAAGTTATCATAGAAACTGAATTCTTTGACGAAGAAGAACAATACAACGATAGAAAAAATTCCTTAGTCAATGGTGGCCATAAAGATTGTGTTCTCGTTGCTCTTTCCTTCACTTTCGTCTTAAATAATTCCTAATTATGAACATTAGTCCATGGCTTCTAAAGTTCTTGCATTTCCTCGCCCATTTTTATTTTCTGATAAATGATTAAATTTTGATCTTGTTGATCTTTCCTTCAATTCTTTCTTAACAACCAGAATAAACCAGTACCATAAAGTATAAGCACAAGAAGACATAAGAATGATAAAAGAAATCAAATTGTTTCCTACTACTCATAAAAGAAAGGCTAAAAATGTAATAAAGATCACGAAGAAAATCAAAGGAAATCACAAGAATCAATAATTCAATTAAAAGTGCCTAGTTCCCTACCTGTGAGAATCCTGAAACAAGCTGATTGCGAATGTACTTCACTCTGTGATTGTAGTCAGCAATATGTGAATTTGGAGGGAAAACCAAGAAAGTTAGTTATTAGAGTTACTTTGTGGTTAGTTATAACAGTAGGCAATCTTTAAGGTCAATTGAAATCAACATCTCTGAGACTCTGACTATAAATGAACGGTGAATGATGGGTTAGTTATCAAGGAAATAATTCCTAGTTATCAACTTTAAGCTGAAGTTTGAAAGTCTTATATAGAGCGATATTAATATACTATTTCTTTTATAAATAGGAAATTATAATTCCTAATGATCTTTATAATCTAATGTTTTTGGTCTCCTTGCCGTCCTTCTTTATTGACTAACGCAAACCAATAGTAAAGTCTCTAAATATTTATTGGATGCTTTGGTGTCCAGCTTGTGTTTCAGAAGATATCATTTATTCAGCCTTCGAAATTTTTTCATTAGCACTTATTCTCCATCCACTATTAAATTGACATAAAAATGACAGCAAATGCAGAACACTAATGAATTCCATTTACTATAATCCCTAATGACAGAGGATCTTGAAACAAAAGTCCTTCCATCTGACTGCCAACTCTCATTAATGGAGAGTTCAGTTAGAGGAGTACGTGAATTTGGAGGGAAAATTAATTCTTTGAGTTTAGTTAGTGAGTTATAACAATATTAAATGTCATCTCCCACAACATTAATTGAAGGCACGAATGATGAGTTGGTAAATAACGGTGCATTACAAGATAACATAAAACAAAATTGACTGTAAAGAAGATAAATGAATTAACAAGGAAATGCAATTGCCTGTGCATAATTTACCATTTTGTAGATTTAGGCCAAACCCAGATTGCATACAATGCAATCCAAATCAACCAAATTTAGATCATTTTGGTTCAATTTGACTATATACATAACTTGGGTACAAATATCATAATACGAACTTGTTTGTATATATACTCAGTGCACATATCCTGATAGCACAACTAACATTAGATTTAAAGCCCAATCATGCAAGATCTTCGACAACATTTTCAGTCAGAAAACAGTTAAACATACACGTAGATGCCCTATATATACAAATGGAATACACAGTATCCGAACACTCCACCTGCTCTCCTACTGCCTGAAAATCCCAGCTTTCCTGGCATCCACAATGGAAACCCCTGTGAAAAGCAGGTCAAATAACTCTAACAAGATGAAAATGATAACAAAACCATATATTCAACCAAAACATTGGCATATACTATCCTATATCAATGTACAAATTCATACATACCACCACAAACTGCCGGAATCTTTATTCTTGGAAATATACTTGATAATTTAACATGTACAAAAACTAAAGCAAAGCTCAATTCCAAGATAATGACTCTGACCACATCCAAACTCATTACAGGCAGAGCAAATTGATTTCCAGTTCCTAGCCAAAAGTCCTATCAATTGATATTATTCCCTTCATTCTTTGTCGCTTTGCAGTTTGCACTTCAAATTTTGCAAATGCACTATCCTTTTTAATTAAATTTATAGTAGATACCATAAACACTCCTATTTTGTTTTGAGTACTAATTAATATAAAAGTAAATTTTCTCTACAAACAAGTTGGATAATCATTGAATAGATGTTTATAGAATAAATATCCAAACAAACTTCAAACTGAGATTTGAAATTTGAACATTTAATCATCTCATATGCAATAATGATTAAACAAAAAAAAATGGTGGGTCTTGCTCAGTATGTACAATTGACAGAAACTTATTAATCATCCTACCCTGTTTTCATTCATATATACCCTCTGAAGGTAGTAATTTAAGCTTAAAAGCAAGCAACTATGAAGAAATAGATGGTCAGCACCACAGGTAGCAGTTAAGTGTGAAATGGCAACGGTACATAGATATCATAAAGATGAATTTTTTAACATTCAAAGAATATATTAACGTGCAAACCAATGTAAGTTCATTTGAAATTGTTATAAAAATTACATAGTAGCCACCCACCAATGTCAAGATCTAGCATCAGAACAAAACAAGTCCTAGGTGATACAAGTTTTTAAGTCCTCAAGTTAAAATAGTGTCACCATGCCCTGTAGCCTAGATCCAGAACTCCAAGTTTTCTCTCGACAAAAGGCAGACTTTGCAAATCACCACTTGATATCCAGGTTGCAAGAACAAAGAGAGATAATAGCAGATATACCTTACGAACCCATTTATTTCCCAGGAAAATAATACGAAGCTTCTAATGCAAAATACTGTAGCATAACTGTGAATCCAGTGAAGATTAGGACATTTAGAAATTTATCATCCCTCCTACGCAACAGCTACTGATCATGTAACTTATAACTATGAAATTTGCAGACCCAAATTTTTACATATATCTAATTGCATAGATATAATACATTTGGTTTGCTATGCACAAAGAAATATTGGAATGTTCTCATTAAATTTTTTTTGGAATCATCTATCTATTTCCGTATGGATATAACATTGGTTTGCTGTGGTTACCAGAACAAATTAGAACAAGCCAATTTCTGTTTCTTGTTCCCATTTTGGCAAAGTTAGTACATGCCGAAATGGCGATAAAATATAAACTATATTGTCAGATCAGTCTGGCCATGTCCCTGATAACAATTTCCCGCTGTTGATTTACAATTTCCCGTTGATAACAAAAATGAGGAAAACAGGGGGAGAAAGAAAGTTGGAAGCACCTAAGAATGAAATGAAATATGATTGCAAGAAATATGGTTTTCACAATAGCTTCGCATATGGACAATATGACAAAACTGAACCATGATCCAATTTTGTTTCATTAATTATCAAATTCATGATATCCATCAATAAATCAAGTAATTCAACAACAAAATTCTTCATCATTGAAGTAAAGTCTAACCGTAAAACAAATCTTAAAAATTTGTTATAATAAGAACAATTGCAGCAACACAGTAGATACACCACTAAATTGCATAACCAAAGGACAATTTTATTTAATAAACACAGACACTAAAGCTATGACAAAGTAGAGCATAAATAAGACAAGCATAGATGGAGTTCAACTGATATTACCTTCCATTAACAAATCTCAATTCCTATTCCCATAATTGGGTGAGACAAGGCTCTCCACATAAATATCAGCATCAAACAGAAGCGGCATGTCAAAAACCACAAAATCTTTACATGAACCATCTCTCCGATTACAAAGGACTAGCTGCTGCTCATTCACAGCCAACAACATTTTACAATTCTTCCACATGCATAACGGCCTCAACACATGATACGGTTGTTGCATTAAAACTTTCGTCCAAGATTTCTCTACACCATACTCTTTCATAACCCAAAATTCTCTTCTAAGGTCCCCATGATGATGCAACACACACAGACACCCTCCAAGAACCCCAGTCGCGAGCGAAAACAATCCAAAGTCTCTCAAAGCTTCAGGTAGCGAAATGTCTTTAAAAACCTCCTCCACCAAATCAAACGCAGCAACTACCACATTAGCAACACCATCACCAGGCCTAGTCAAAACCCAATGAATTGCCCCATTAAGTGGCGTACCCGAAGCACCAACCGGATATAAATAATGACAATCTTTGACCCTTCTCCAAGACCCGGTTCTCAGCGAAAACACACACACAATTGATGGAACAATCACTTTCACAAGCTTATAATCATCAATGACTTCAGAATAACCAAACCCATGTATACTACTATAATTTAAACTAGTCAACTGAAACTCCGGAATTCTCTTGGCCTCTCTGGTTGCAGGATTGAACAAAAAGAAAACTTTAGGCACAGGCATTATACACAACAACCCATTGCAAGAGCCAAAGATTTGAACTTGGTCATTTCTGGGAATCGATTTCAACGGAAAATCAAGCTTTACAGCAACCACTTCTTCATCGATGGGTGTCGCTTCATGGTTTACAGAGTAAAGTGAGTGAGAAGCGAGAATGAGTTTGTGGGTATTATTGTGGCGGAGGTGTGAGGTGACAAAGTGAGGATCGTTGATTAAAGCAAGCCATGGCTTGGATACGCACCTGAATCGACATAGGGATTTGACGGGGAGTCGTAACAGTATGTCAATGATGATCTCTTGTGGAAGAGTCTTTGCTGAGCGACTGGACATTGTTTATCTTTTATGAAAAAAAAAATCACAAAATTCATGAATAAAAAAAGTGATTAATTCAACCTAAATTTAAATAAAAAATGTGTTCTAAGAGAAAAGGAAAGGGGAAAAGAGGGCGAAGAGAGACGAAAAAAAAAGAAAAGAAGAAAACCCAAAATGAAAAGACAATAGTACCCCTAAAGTGTTAGACGTATATATTATATATATTTTTTGTGTCCGGTAAATGAAATAGATCTTTTAAATTTTATAATATATTGTCAATCCAATTTTACAAACAAATGCAATACTATTTATTTGTTGTTAATCGATAATTGGTTGATCAATTACATAATTTAAATACAATTCTATGCAATGCAATTTAATTTGTTTTGTTTTTTTTAAAAAAAAATTAAATTACATTACATAGAATTGAACATCAAACTTCCATTACATTCCTTCAAATTGATACTCTTTAAATTTTTAATAAATAATATTTTCCTCCTCTCTCCTGCCTAAATATTTTACTTTGGCTGAATCTCGAATCTAAATGATGATATAATTTGATCTGTACAGAAGATACCCTAATTTATTAATCACAATTAAGTCTAGAAAGAATGTTATCCATATATACTCTTCAATAAATGGATAGAAATAGGTTGACCATGGATTTGGACATGAAGAACATCAGTCATCATATCATTCCCACAAATTTAATTTAATTCCTTGGATTAAAGTTTCAATTACCCATTAAACAAGCCCTAATCCAACATACAATTTTAATGCAATACAATTCTCAACCAAGGAAAAGCTCTAATTGGGATTTATTTTCTTGATCGATTATGTCAAGAAATACTGGATCTACCGTCACATGACTGTCCACGTGTACCTTAAACTTATGATCCCACCACAACACCTTCGCCATACCCGCAATATCCACCTTAGCATCAAGCACCATCTCTCTCTTCGCCACGTCACCGAAAAACTTAGCGGCGTGATGTGTGAGCTCAAGCCCGTCCAGCCGAGCCGGGATTTGGAGCAGCTGGCAGGACCGAGCTGGCTGCGACCCGGCCTTCACAGGACCCGAGCCGAGGAGTGAGCCTTCGTAGAAGATGGACATGGTAGTAGAAGAGTAGTTGATGGGAGTGATGTTGGGATTGGTGACGTGTATGGTGAGGATGAGATCGGCGTCGGCGACTGGTAGCTTGAGCTTAAAGGAGGTGAGTTTGATTGAAATTAAGTGGAATGTAGGATCCTTGGGCTTGGCCCTGAAGACAGCCGTCGCGACAGTGGCTGCTGCGGCTCCGACGAAGGCAGACGTCCAGCTCCATTTTACCTTTTTGCCCATGATATTTGACGGATATTCCTGGCTTTTTGGATTCTAAAACGTAGTGGGATGCAAGAAAGAGATAGAATCGGTGGGACTTGGGAATTGGACTAGAAATGACTGTAATGTCCTCTTTCCTTTGTGTAGGTAGCGGGTCGGGTTTTGGAGGGTAGTTTTGGTAATGGACGTGAGTTTAAAAGATAAGAGGAGTTTTGGACGGATGAAATAGGATTGCGATGTCGGCTGGGTAAGGAATATGGATAAAGAGTTTATTCTGGCTTCGTTGAAGGACACGTGTAAATGTTGGAAAATTCAAATGGAATTGAACATGCACGTCGCATTTTTTGTACAAATAATTTTAGAAACGATTCAGTTAAGTCAAGTGGGCATTTGTTAGTTTGGGCCACGTGATTGTATTTGGGCTTAACAACAATTCGGGCCCAACATATATCTAGACGTCGGATATATCATGATTTTTAAATTTGGTTGGGTTGTGAAGAAATTAGTTTATATTAAATATTATTGATTTTTCGTATTATAGATTCATAATGAATTTTTAATGTAAAGGCGATTCATTTACTACGAGAATAATTTTCAAAACTTTTTTTTTTTTTAAATTTTTGGGTTTTTCAAATCATACAAAATTGATGTAATATGTTTGTTTTTCCATTTTTATTAACCGTGTAAACCATACCATTCATGTTTTAATGTACAGAGTTGTTTGTATACTAATAATTAACTTAGGTTAATGATACTATTCATATCTCAATTTATCTGGCTATTTGTCTACTAAAAAAATTGCAACCATGAAAGACCACTCTTTTAGACATGATATGAAACTTTTTCCGTGTTTCTTGTATCAGTTTTAAAAGTTTTCAAATTATAAGATTGATTTACCAAACAGGCAAACACATCAACAAAAAGATTAATGTGTCATATATTGATATTATTGTTTTATTTTAATTTCCTCAAATATCTTAATAAAATTTAGAAAATATAGAATTGGTGAGAATTACATTCTATTCTCACTAATAGTATTTATATTATAAACTCATTATAATCTCTGATATTATTTATTTTTTAATTATTGTCATGCATATATTATGACTTCCAATAGTGTTAGGTTTACAACTCATTTTCACAACTTTCTCTCACAATTTTCGACATAGCAACTCGCCATTGGTTAGCTCATATATGAGTAGGTGAGACACATACAAGCAGGCAACACCCATTTTGCGAGCTGACCATTGACAAGCTGCTACACCGGAGGTTGTGAGAGAAAGTTATGGACCCAACATTACTTTATGACTTCATATATCATAAAATATACATTGGATGATTGATTAAAAAAAGAAAAAAAAAGTTTATTTATATGTTAATGTTGATACGAAATTTGCACTAACTTGAGAGAACCGATTGACCTTGACCGAATCAGAACTTATGTATACTTGATTAAAGATAACCAACGATTGAATGTAAAAAATGCCTAATAATGTAAAGAACATAAAGGATTTTAAAAGTGGTTCGACAAGTTAAAACTTGAGTCTACATCTACTGTTATTTTATTGCTTTTGAGTGATTACAAGAACAATATAGAATGTATGAATATTTGCTAACCCCTCTCTCTTTATTTGAGGAGGTTTATATACAAGTTTGTAATTAATGGGGAGAGATAAGTTCGACATTGCAATCAGAGTTGGTTTGCAATCCCATGATCTTTGCGATCGTGCGCTGCCAATAATGTCTATCTTATCTCTTTTGAAATATTCGAGATTAGAGTTTATCTTTGATTTCGTTGAATAGCTGTTTGGGTTGATCGTTGTGACGAGCTTCACCTAGGTCGTGCTTACTCTGAATCGAATCGACTCTAGGTTGAGCTTGCTTTTGAGTTAAGCTACCTCTCTGCGAGCTCTTATGGCAAAAATACATACAACACTTAATGAGAAAATATCATGAATATTTGTGAACATGTTATTGTTATGCAATTGACTAACATACATTTTAACCAAATTAATAGACTTTAAAAATGTGTAGTACCCAAATTTAAAAAAAAAAAAAAATAATAATAATAATAGAAAGATACAAGCGTCTTACCTCTTCAAAACTATGACATGAATAAAAATAAAACTATTGGTTTGGATGAAACCAATAAAGGATTAGGGAAAAAAAAAAAAAAAAAAAAAAAGAAACAGGTTTAATGTATCATATAATTATAATGAATAAACCAAATGGGCAAACAAATTTAGTTATCTAATATAAAACACAAGAAAACAACTAATTTAAACCCCTTTCATTTTGACAAACTACATTTTGCCCCCCCGCCCCCTTTTTTTAATTAGTTTAGTAGATAAAACTTTTCATCCTCTCAACTAATCCTAACACTTAATAATTAGTTTGTTAAGCCAGTTATTAGTTGGTTAATTAGTTAGGAATTAGTTTGATAATTAGTTAAGAATTTGTTTTAGTTAGTTGTAGTTTGTTACAAGATAAAGTGATGAAGCTCCTGTATATAAGCTATAACCTCTGTATCTTTCAATTCAATTCAATAAAACGAATTCATTTTTATGTTACAAATTCATTTCTTCACATGGTATCAGAGCCGTGTTCTCTTTTGTTTTCTTGAACTCCAAACTGTTTTCTCCGCTGTATCAATGGCTGCCTCTGCATCAACCGTGGTTCCTTCTCAAGATCCAACTACTCCATATTATCTTCATCCCAATGAAAATCCCGCTGCAGTTTTAGTGTCTCCAGTTCTTCATGGGACCAACTACCATGCTTGGGCAAGATCTATGAAGATAGCTTTACTCTCAAAGAACAAATTGAAGTTTGTAGATGGCACCATTAAAATTTCTTCAAGTAATGATTCTTTATACTCTGCTTGGGAAAGATGTAACACCATGATATTGTCATGGTTAACTCATTCTCTTTCTCCTTCAATAACAAGCTCTATTTTGTGGATTGATAAAGCATAAGATGTATGGGATGACTTGCGGGAAAGATTTTCTCAAGGGGATGTTTTCAGAATCTCTGACTTACAAGAGGAAATATATGCCTTTAAGCAAGAAAACAAGAATGTAACAGAATATTTCACTGAATTGAAAATTCTTTAGGATGAACTGTTAAATTTCAGGCCATTACCTTCATGTACTTGTGCTGTCCCATGTTCTTGTGGAGCTTTGAGCAAGATCAAAATTTACCAAAACAATGATTATGTAACTCGGTTCCTCAAGGGACTGGGTGATCAATTTACAACAGTCAGATCTCAAATCATGCTTATGGATCCACTGCCGTCCATCAACAAAGTCTTTTCTCTGGTGGTTCAACAAGAAGGGCAGATGAATCTAAGGGCATCAAAGGTATTTGTCCACAAGACCAACAATCAACAAAATTTCAAGTCACAACAACCTAAAATTTCCCTGGTCCTACAAACAGTCATGGTAATAATGATAATAGATTTTGCACTTTTTGTGGCAAGCCACGCCATACAATTGAGACTTGTTATAAGAAACATGGATATCCTCCAGGATACAAGCCTCGAAATGTTCATTCTGCTACTCACAATGTGGTAACTGGTGATGATGCCGAAGGTACTGAAGTTTCTGCTTTACAAACTGACATGTCAAAAGGTAATCTTGAGCATTCAGGTGTTACTCTAACTCAAGAACAATATCATCAGTTGGTTGCTTTACTCCAATCTACCAATCTGGAAAAATCTTCTCACACTACAAATCAAGTTTTATCTCATCCTAACCATCATCTTTCTGCTAATTTTTCTGCTTCACAAGGTAATCATTTCTTACCATCTTGTTCCTCTAATACTGGACATTGGTGCCACTGACCACATTACCCATTCACTGTCATCTTTTATCTCTTATAAACGTATTAAACATATCACCATAACTTTACCGAATGGTGCTAAAATCACCACAAATACCTCAAGCACAGTTTCCTTTTCTGACAGATTAATCCTTACCGAAGTCTTGTATGTGCCTGAATTTTCTTTTAACTTGATATCCGTTACTAAGCTTACATCTTTCACTCCTTGTTGCCTAATCTTTCAAAACTCTTGTTGTCTAATTCAGGAAGTGAACTCGTGGAAGACGATTGGTTCAGCTAAGGTGGTTGACGGCCTATATGTAATGCATAAACCTGCAACTTTTTTTACCCCTTTTTCTCTTGTTTCTTTGGCATCTACAGATAAGGTTCCTGACCTCTGGCACTATCGACTTGGTCACTTATCTAATTCCAGGATCAAGCTTTTATCTTCTCTTATTCCAAGTCTTAAATTGAATGATAATTTAGCTTGTAGTGTATGTCATTTTGCAAAACATAGGCGTTTACCCTTTCCTGTAAGTCATTCAAAAACAAATAAAAGCTTTGATCTTATTCATGCTGATATATGGGGACCCTTTTCCACTTACTCTATTCATGGACATCGTTACTTTCTCACCATTGTTGATGATTGCACACGTTACACTTGGGTTTATTTGTTGCAAAATAAATCTGAAGTTAAGCATTTAATTCCTTCCATTTTTAACCTGACTGAAACTCAATTTGGTGTTAAAATAAAATGCATTCGCACTGATAATGGTGGTGAATTTACTTTGCCCCAATTCTATGCATCTAAAGGAGTCATTCACCAAACTTCATGCGTTGAAACTCCTCAGCAGAATGGTTTGGTTGAACGCAAACACCAACACATATTAAATGTTGCTCGTTCACTACTTTTTCAGTCCTCTTTGCCAAAACTCTATTGGAGTTATGCTATCCTTCTTGCTGTGTACCTAATGAACCGAGTTCCTTCTCCTCTTCTGCACAATCAGTCTCCCTTTCACCTGCTCTACAACACCATTCCAGATTATGAAACCTTACGTGTGTTTGGTTGTTTGTGTTTTGCTTCAACCTTGCTTGCTAATCGCACAAAGTTTGATCCAAGGGCTCGCAAATGTGTCTTTCTTGGCTACAAAAGTAATACTAAAGGTTTTATCCTTTTAGATATTCATTCTAAGGAAATGTTTGTTTCTCGAAATGTGTCTTTTCAGGAACACATTTTTCCTTTTGCCCATACAACACAATCTGCTCCTTTATTACAAGCTAATTCTTTTCCATCTGATCTTACACCTCCTCAGCCTTCTTTTAATGATGTTTCTTCTTCAACACATACTAATGTCTCTTCCTCACAACCGTCGTGTCACTCTGAACGTCAAAGAAAACCACCATCTTACTTGCAGAATTATCATTGCAACATGGCTGCTGTATCTGCTCCCAACGTCTTTCCACAAGGTAACTCTTCTTATCGCTTATCTTCTGTTCTTTCTTATTCTAACCTTTTTCCTTCACACCTGCATTTTATTCTTGCACTATTTGCTGTCTCTGAACCAAAATCATATAGCCAAGCCATCAAACACAAGTGTTGGCAAGATGCCATGCAGGCTGAAATTCAAGCTCTTGCGCAGAATAACACCTGGGTACTCACTGATCTACCTTCTGATAAGTCTCCAATAGGCTACAAATGGGTTTATCGCATCAAACATAGAGCTGATGGAACGATTGAGCGCTAGAAGGCGCGTTTGGTAGCCAAAGGCTACACACAAACTGAAGGAGTGGACTATTTCGATACATTTTTGCCTATTGCCAAGATGACTACTGTTCGTTTACTTCTTGCATTAGCGGCTTCCTTGAACTAGCATCTTAAGCAGCTTGATGTTAATAATTCCTTCCTTCATGGTGACCTTCATGAAGATGTTTATACGGTTTTAGCTCCAGGCTTTAAATCAGCTAATCCAACTAAAGTCTGCAAGCTACAAAAATCGCTTTATGAACTAAAATAGGCTAGCTATCAATGGTTTGCAAAGTTTACTTCTGCTTTGGTTAAAATGGGTTACTCTCCATCACCTTCTGATCACTCTTTATTTGTCAAGCATTGTTCCAGTAGCATTACTGTCCTACTTGTTTACGTAGATGATGTTATTTTGGTTGGAAATGATTTGCATGAGATTGATGTTGTTAAGAATTATTTAGATGCCACGTTCAAAATCAAAGATCTTGGTGATCTTAAGTTTTTTCTTGGCTTAGAGGTGGCTCACACAACTAAAGGCCTTGTGTTATCTCAGCGTAAATATGCCCTTGATATCTTGGCTGATACTGGTTTTCTGGAATCCAAACTTGCTAAGACACCCCTTGACACTTCTTCAAAGCTAACAAAAGATGCTGGTGTTCCTCTAGAAGACAGTTCTATGTATCGGAGTTTAGTTGGTCGTTTGTTGTATCTCACCTCTACACGTCCTGACATATCTTTTGATGTACAACAGCTTAGTCAATATATGGACAAGCCCACTTCTTTGTATTTACAAGCTGCGCATTGTGTCCTACGTTATCTCAAGAACTGCCCTGCTCTTGGTATTTTTTTCTCTGCCTCTTCTTCATTAACACTGAAAGCTTTCAGTGATTCCGATTGGGCTAGCTGTCTGGATACCAGGAGGTCAATCATTGGTTTCTGAACCTTTCTTGGTTCATCTCTGATTAGTTGGTGTGCTAAGAAGCAGCCCACGGTGTCCCGCTCTTCGTCAGAAGCAAATATCGTGCTTTAGCTCCTGTCACTTGTGAGCTCTAGTGGCTTGCTTATCTGCTCCGAGACCTTCATGTACCGCATCCTCATCCTGCTCTGATTTTTTGCGACAATAAATCTGCACTTCATATTGCTGCAAATCCAACCTTCCATGAACGTACCAAACACATAGAGATAGACTGTCATATTGTGCGTGAGAAGGTTAAAACAGGTCTGATACATCTCATGCCTTGTTCTTCTTCAGATCAATTAGCTGATCTCTTCACCAAGTCTCTCGCTCGTGCTCCGTTTCAAGCATTACTTCTCAAGTTGGGAATGTTGTCTATCCATTCTCCAGCTTGCGAGGGGCTCTCAACTAATCCTAACACTTAATAATTAGTTTGTTAAGCTAGTTATTAGTTGGTTAATTAGTTAGGAATTAGTTTGATAATTAGTTAAGAATTTGTTTCAGTTAGTTGTAGTTTGTTACAAGATAAAGTGATGAAGCTCCTGTATATAAGTTGTAACCTCTGTATCTTTCAATTCAATTCAATAAAATGAATTCATTTTTACGTTACAAATTCATTTCTTCACACATCCACTTTTGTTTAATCTTTACCTTTACACGATTTTTATCTTGTATTAATTTTTACCTCTACACGATTTTTATGTCTTCATTCTAGCAACTTTAACACTAAAGTAATTCTAGCGTTAGAGTGCCTTCACTGGAGCATTAGAATTTTTGTTTTTAAATTTCTCCAAATTAGCGTTAAAACTTAAATATTAAGATTTCTTAAACTAACAAATAAATTAACTAATTATATTTTATAAAAAATAATTAAAAATGAATAGTATATATATATATAAGAGTTATTTTAACTATCTAAAAATAAGAAATAATTTTTTTTTCCCTAAATGTTTGAGTGAAGAGGGTAAAAATGTAAAGAAATTGAATACTAGATCTCATATGATAACCCAATCAAGAAGATGTCAGATTTCAATTTTACCCTTAAAAAAGATGATTTTTTTTTTTTTATTATTATTTTTTTTTTAACAAAGAAACAAGTCCAATTCATTTAAAGGAAAACGATATTTTTCCACCCAAGGTTTGGCAAAACGATACTTTTTTACCTGTCAAGTTTTAAAATGATATTTTTCCACCATTCGTCAAGTTCTGTTATGTTTTATGTTAATATTTGACTGAAAAGATGAAAATACCCTTAAATATTTGACTTTATAAATTTTTTGTTATTTTTGAATTAGCCAAAAAGTAAGATATTAAAAAGTCAAAAAAGAAAAAATAGTTAACCCCAACTAAAAAGTTAAGATTAATGCTATAGAATTGTTTAAAGTTAAATAACCTTAATATTTATTTAGTTATTTATTTATTTAAAATATCATAAATATCTCATCACTATTATTCAATAATCTATTAATATAATGTTTTTCATTTTCACTAATTAACATGGAAAATCTTAATAGTTAATATTCCTAATTAATTAAATAAACAAATGAAAAAAATGTATCTTTACACTTGAGTAAAGACTTTGTTTAACTAAATTTTAATTTATAATAAATTATTTAAAGGTATTTATGTTTTTTAGTCAAATATTAACAGAAAGAGTAATGCTACATGTATAAACAAGTTTTCCAAAGATTTGTGTACAAACTGATATGACACAAAATAAATGGAAGAGTGAATATGAGGAGTTTGACTTTTTATATTCACTATTCTATTCATTTTATGACACATCAGTTTGTACACGAATCTTTGTAAGATTTGTTTGTACATCTAGTAGAAAATACTAACAAAACCTGACGAAAGGTAGGAAAGTATTATTTTGAAACTTAATGGGTGGAATAGTATTGTTTCGCCAAACCTTGGGTGGAAAAATGTCGTTTTCCCTTCATTTAAATCCAACCGGATTCAATTTGCCTTCATTCTGTTGAAGTTATATACCTAACGAAACAATCTATATTAATTAATTAACTTATAATACTATAATTATCAATAAAAATACTAAGAATTTGATTAAATTAGATGATCCTGTTGAAAACTATTAGCTCGAAAATGCAAAGTTAAACTGCAAAAACATGTGAAAATCTGAATATATTTGCATTATAATCACACTGAATTCCAATTATAGCCCTATATAAAATATACAAAAAAAATAATAGAAATAAAAACAGAGAAAACCAAATAACTCAGGCCACAGTAACCGGGGCTAGCAGTGTTGGAACCATGGTGGCGGCGGCCGTGGTAGCCACCGGCACCAGCTGCATAGAGAGGAATCACAGCTCCACCGCCCACTTGGCCATCGTTTCCTCCTTCACCGTGACCACCTCCGTTTCCATGCCCACCAGCTCCATGACCTCCTGCTCCACCTCCATGACCTCCTCCTCCACCTCCGCGCCTATTAACAGATACCATCACTCCCTCTTTCGACGTAAATTTTTGTGGGTTTCCTTTTTCACTAGCATTCTGTCGCTGTTTAAACTCTACAAAGTAAGTTATCATGCTAAGTTCATCAATGAGTAACATAAAAATAAATAAATAAAAACAATAGGGCCCGACAATTCTATGATTCTACTTTTGCCGGCCAATCTTTGTATGACAGATTAGCACGACCGATTGAGTAAAGAAAAATAGTTTCACTCAAAGCTTCTATGCTGCATCTACACGCAAGGAATGTCTGCGACTTGGAGTAAAAATCCTGTTGGATAGAATGATTCATTCATCTTTTATTTTCTTTTTAATATTCTCGGGATTTTTTTTTTTTTTTTTTTTTTTTTTTTGGTAATGTGGTGTTTAGCTCACTTATACTCACCTCAATTAATCTCTTAAATTCTTTGAATACCCTACAAACCTAAAAAAACAGTAAGTCATATTGTGGAACTTAAGTTCTTTGAATACCCTACAAACCCAAAAAAACAATAAGTCATATTGTGGAAAAATTATAATGTGGTAAGTGACTCTAAAAACTCAAGAAATTAAGGAAGGTAACAAATTTCCTTGACCATCAAGCCAATCCCAGTTTTTTTTTTTTTTTTGGTTTTACCAATAGAAGAAAAGAAAAAAAAAAAGCCTTGATCTTTTCAAATTCCAACCGTTTATTTATTATTATCTCAAGAAGAATACATAAATAATTAGAGATTTAATTTGTAGAAAAAACTATAAACTAATTGTTATCATCTAGAATCTCCAACCAAGAACACAGAGATTGTTTTAAATTAGATTTTGATTCAACAGGGGGTAGGAATTATGATTGAAAAACAGCAATAATAAAACTAAAAGAAAAGAAAAGATAGTTAATGAAATTACCTGTATCCAACTGAGTATTGTTAGAACGTTGATATGCAAGAAGAAGATGAAGTTGATGAAAGAAGAGCAATAAAAAGAAGAATCCGAGTTTTGTGAAGCCCATATTTCAGTATTCGCAAGCGGTGGTTAATAAAAGCCTTGCCTTCAATATATATTACACTTTGCTCGAGCTTCTTGAATCGATGTTTTTCGTGTGAATCTTAACAGGAAGTTTCGGCGTATCTTCCCTACAAAAGTCTAACGAACGCCATTAATACTTGTAGTAAGGAAAGAGAATATTTTCAAGTAACAACTATTTAATGTAAATATAATAGATTTTAAGGAATGTTGTGGATTGATAAAGTAAACTAAAAAAAAATGTTATCACTTTTTACGTGGAGGAAGAGAGACGTTCCTTTCTCTTTTTAATGATAAGTTGCATAAATTTAGTGTTTTTAGGTTTGTTTTTATAGCCTTCTAATTAATTTTTTATTTGTTTTCTGTGCTTTTATGTTAGTTTTTGTTAAGTTTGAAATATGAATGGTTAGCTATTGATTTGGAGAATTTTGTAATTTTCAAGCGTTAATTGAATAGATTGGAGCATTGGAATAAAATTGGAACTCAAAGCTTGAAGAAATTGCGATTAGCTGACAAATTTGAAGGCCATGGGCTTGCCTTGGTGGTTCACCACGGCCGTGGTGGTTGAATGAAAATAAAATAACGAGGACAGAAAACACCATGGCCTAGGCTGTGGTGACATACATTTGGACACAGCCAGGGCCGTGTCGGACACTTTTAAGGTTTTTATTAATTTTTCTTTCCTTTTTCACTTAGGACTCTTTTGGGTATTTAAGGGTTATTAAGATTACTCCTTAGGGAGGCCGAATTTTAACAATTCTTGGAGAGAGATTATTGTGTAACAAAAGAGAAAGGAGAATCAAGAACAAAATTCATCAAAGAGTTTGTTTTTACTTTTTCAATATGATTTATTTCTTGGATTCTATTCTTGTTTCTTTTATTATGAACTAATTTTCTCAGGCTAAGACTAGGGTTAGTCTATCTATGGATTTGTGATCAATCTTTTACTCTTTGGTCAGTGAATTATTTTTGTAATGATGAGTTTATATTATGTGCTTAATGCTATTAGGAACTTGATCAATTTCTGATAGAATTGTTTTGTGTGATTGAGACCGAGAGGAGATATCACATGAGTGCTCTAGTAATATAGGCCATGGATTAATTGGATATAGAGATATATGAATTGATACATGCAATAGTCATAGGCAGGATTTCATAGTTTTTTTTGGCAGGATTAACTGTGCTGAAAGCAGAGGATTTCACAAAGCTTAATGTTCATCTATTTCATTAAATCTATATAAAGATATTAGGTTGTGAAATAGAAGTAGAATTAATATTGCTTGAGAAAGAATTGGTTAACCTAGGAAATCCCGTTGTCACATTAATTAATAAATTCATTGACCATAGTAAATTGAGGGGTGCAAAAGAGTTATAGATGAGCCTGAAGTCTTAGCCGTTTTCTCTCATTGAATTCTTAATTTTAGTTTTACTGCAATTTGTTTCTAATATTTCAGATTTAATATTTTCAGTTTTAAAGATCACCATTCCAGGTTTGATTATCTAGATAAAGTTAACACTAATTAATATTTCAGTACTTGTTTACGCAATCCCTTAGATATGATAACTGTATTTTGTTATATTATTTATTGAGAATAGTACACTTGCTAGTAGTTGTTGCAAACCAACAAAACATTAAACTTAAATCTTGCATCAGTACCTGTAGTGATTTAGTAATTAATCGAATAATTGCAAATGGAGAAACGTATGTGGATTTGATTTCTAAAATTAAAATATTCGATTTATATGAGACTGCTAATTTTATTCAGTCGGTGTTCGGTTGCTGGTCTAAGAAAGTAAATATATCGACACAAAGCATAATTCGCATAAGGTTTTTTTTTTTTTTTTTTTTTTTTTTTTTTTGGGGGGGGGGGGGGGGGGGGGGTGGGGAGGGGTGGGGCGGGGGGTGTGGGGGGGAAAGAATAAAGGAACGGGATCCAAGAGGAGAACCTCTGCAAAGTTAAATTCCTTGGACAAGCCCAAGCAGCCAGCAAAACAAAACCCGCAGAATAGACACAGATTTACAATTCAAAGGAACCACCAAACTTGCCTGAAAGAGGACTACACAAACAATGGACCAGCGTTTATGACATATTCCATCAACTCTCCAACAAATAAATAGTGAAAATTACAATAATAAAAAATATGTTTTTAGTATCGTTTTTAGTTAAGGAAAATGAGTTCATGATCTAAGGGATGAGATCTTTTAACTTAAAATTTTGACTTAAATGGAGACACAAATCCTGACCATGCATATTTTGCAATCCAAAGGAGTGAGAAAAGACTTGGGGGTATTTATTTTCTTTGCTACCTAGAACTTTTACACTATGGAGTGCGTTGAATTCACGGTTGAAAAGTTTCAGTAAAAATTTACTATTAGAAGTTCTGCTCCCTTTCGTAATATTACCTGATTTAAAGATTAATTAATATGCATTTGCCATTTGACAAGTATTTCAACAAAGGAAAGAGAAGTATAAGGAATTTTGACTTGAAGGAGTGTGCTAGATTGGTAAAGTGTTCTCATTCATGTAACAAAAGATTCCAGTTCTGGAATAGAAGTAAAAGTAAAATATTCTCATTTAACAAAAGTTGCGTTTTTTCTTTTTCTTTCTTGTTTCTTGAGTATAGAAAAGGAAAAATAAGATTTCATTTCCAAAATCCAAATATTTGGTTAATATGTAGACTAATTTTGTTTTGTTGGAATTTGGTTGTTAGTTAAAGAAAATTAAAGGAAGTTTCGGGTGTATTCTTTTATATATATTTTTTGTGTTGAGTGAAATTATTAAAAAATGATCAAATATTCAGAAAGATAGGCTTCGTTTGGTTCACTTTTGGGAATGCTATTATTAGTATTCCCAAAAAAGTTAAATAGTAAAATTTCATTATTCCCAAAATATTATTCTATATTTTTCAATTTATTTTAAACCTCTTAAATTTATTAATTTAAATAAACACCCCCAAATATTTTTTTTAGAAATTCCTAAAATACTCCGGCCACCCTCAGACGGTGGTGGCCGGTTGTCCGTATTTAATGGGTGGGTTGGGGGTGTTTTTGTTAACTTTAAATATTTTATTATAGGGGTGTTTAGTAAATAAACAAACATTAGGGATATTTTTATTAATTTCCAAATCCTACATCGTAATACCTGCCCAATTTAACTTTTTTTAAAAGATTATTCTAAAAACTATCAGAATAATGAACCAAACGGAGCCTATAGTGTTTTGAAAAAGTGAAAATAAAAGCACTTTTGATATATTTATCTGAAAACATAAATGTATAAATGAAAAGAATAAAACCCACAACCCACAGAATGGTAAACTCGATCAAATGATCAAATCACCACTTTGATTTATTTCTCTCGAAAAGTTTTATAAGAGTATTTTGAATGATTTGTCTTTTTTTAAACATATATACTTATATAGTAAAGATTTGTATTAGAATTGTAATTAAAGAGAGTGTAAAAAGCTAATATGATTACCTCTTCCCTTGTGGCCAGATAACATACCCTTTAGCCATTGGGGTCCCCTATACTTAAGGGGTCTTGTATTCAAGTTGCAGAAGAGGTACCTACCACATTTATGAAATTACCTTGGTCTATTGGGTTTATAGGATGTTTTGTGGCCTTGAGGATTAGACAGGCTTTAATGTGGGCTTGGGATACCTCAGTTACCTTAAAAAAAAAAAAAGCTAATATGATTTGGTTTGTTAAAGTAGCTAGTCTACTGTATTAGTTTATATATAATGTAAATATGTAACTTTAGTTGAAAGAGTTTGTTATAACTTGAGTTAGTTATTAACTTGAGTTAGCTGTAATACAAAAACAGTGAATAGTGTTACTCAATGCAATACGAATTTTCCCCCCAAATTTCTCTCTTTACAATGGTTTTCACTCTCTTCAACATGGTATTATAGCAACAATTCTTCCACAATTTGATCTAAAATTCAATCAATCAAACTCCCAATTTCATTCCAATTAAGCTCGAAGCAACTCAAAATTCTTTAGCTTCTTCAATTTTAGCTCAAATTCTCCAAAGTTTTCAGCTTCGTCGATAATGGCAAGTTCAATTGAAGAGTCTGTTGTTCCTTTGATTGATTCCAATTCTCCTCTTTATATTCATCCCTTAGATACACCAGGTTCTGTTCTTGTTTCTGAGCAGCTGGTAGGTACTGAAAATTATGGAATATGGAGTAGGGCGATGACTGTTTCTTTGTGTGCAAAGAACAAATTGGTTTTGTTAATGGAACATGCACAAAGTTGTTTGTTCACTCTAGGTTAGTACCATGGTGGGAAAGATGCAATTCCTTAGTACTTGCTTGGATTTTCAATTCGGTGTCACAGGAAATCTTCAATGGCATTGTCTACTTGATTGATGCTTCACAAGTTTGACAAAACTTGAAAGAGCAATATCATAAGGTCAATGGAACTAGAATTTTTGGTCTCCACCGAGAAATTGTCAATCTCACGCAAGGAACAAACACAGTGCTTGTCTATTATAACAAGCTTAAGTCTCTTTGGGATGAGTTAAATTCATTGGTAAGCTTACCTACTCTAGACAACATCTCTGCCAAGGCATTTCTCGAGCACCTTAATCAATAAAAGCTGTTACAATTTTTGATGGGCTTAAATGACTCATATTCTATGGTTAGAAGTCAAATTTTGTTGATGAATCATTTACCAAGTGTTAAACAAGCATACTCAATAGTAAATTAGGACGAAAGTCAGAAAATTCTAATTGGTATGAATGTTAATTTGGAGGTCTCAACCGTGCTCTATGCTCAGAATAATAGCAAGAGTCAGAATCAAGGCCAGAGGTATAAGGGTAAGAAGCCTTATGTTGAATGTGAGTATTGCCATTTGCCTAGTCATAAATGGGAAAGTTGCTATAAATTGAATGGCTATGCTGCGGACTACTAGTTCACAAAAGGCAAGACATCTAAAGCAAAGGTTTCTACTAATCAATTACAAACATAGAATTCAGCTTCAGAGTTATCAGATGTTGTAAATGTTAGTGCCTCAATTGGTCTTGTTCTGACATTTGACCAATACAATCAAATTCTTCAGCTTTTGGGAAAAGAAAACACACCTCCAGCTACTAGCTCCCGAGTGCTGTTAATGTTTATTTTTCTTGTTTGAATAATGATGTTTGGATCATAGA